TGCTGCGGATCATAGCAAGTCAAGCAGCTCACCACTAAGTCTCCGTAGATGATCGGCTACGCGCCCACGTGACTACTCATGGAACCTGTCTCAGTACCTACACATCAGTGAAGAAGTGTAGAGTGAGTACGGAAAACAACGCGTACCCACTAAATATCTAGTCTAACCTCAAAGAAGTAGTGACGAGGGGTTGACTTGACACTTACTAAAGGCCAATAATAATAAAGGTGCATAAAGTAGACATGGTGGTCATACAACACGTATTAGTGAAACAAATAAAAGAAACTACAATAAATACAACAGGAGTTCGTATCACGTCACCAACATCTTATAACCAGCCATGAAGGCTCTAACTCAATTATACCCAAACTGGAACCCGTTTCGATTATTAAGCATGAAGTTGCCAAGGGGAACGGCCCCATCCCATAAGAATAGTCTTACCATCATACTGCCGAGGCAAACAACCCGATCCCATAAGAGTGGTGTTATCATACTGTCGAGGCGAACATCCCGATCCTTTAAGAGTGGTGTTATCATACTACCGAGGCGAACGGCCCAATCCTATTAGAGTAGAGAAATTTACCTCGCTCGCGGAAGTACTTGCGAGATGAGAAGACATGGATTTTCATAGTTTATTAAGAATTCCTCAATTTCCAAAATAAGTAGGCTAAGTTGATAATTGCAACTTTATATCCTTAGTCTCAGCTCTAATCAAGACAATTAATACACATGATAAACACAACAGTACAATGAAAAGCATGATGTGAATCTAAGTCTACCCGGACATATCATGGAATATAGCTACGCACGGACTCTCATCACCTCGTGCGTACGTAGCTCCCCACACAAGTAACACACAACAAGATGCGCCTAAGGGGATGAGTTTCCTCTTACAGGGTTAGGCAAGAGACTTACCTCGTTCTCAAGCTCACTTCCGGTCCACTAATCTGCTCTAAAAGCCTCAAGTCGATGCCAAAAATCAGAAACTAGTCAAATATTATATAATTTAATCAATATATACTCAAAAGTTCATAATTTAGCTATAAGAGTAATTACCCAACCCAGATGGGAAGATTCCTAAAATTTACCCCCAGGCCCACATGCCTGGATCCCGAAAATTCTCGAAGATAAATGTTACCCATGACCTCACGAAACCAAATATATAATTTCTACTCAATTCCATAATCATTTTCGTGGTCAAATCCTATTTTTATCAAAACCTAGGTTTTTCGACTAAACCTATAATTTCTACAATTCGCATGTTAAGAATATACCCAAAATCCGCGTATTAAACTCACATTAAGTAGTAATTGCTTACCTCACGATGACAGGTGAAAAATCCCTATCCAAGAGCTCCACAATCGACTACCCCAAGTGAAAATGAGAGAAAAAGAACCTAAGTCCGATATAACTACACCGTCACTGCCCCCAGTGATTTCGCACATGCGGAAGCATCAACGCTTTTAAGGGGCCACTCCTGCGGTCGATTGTCCGCATCTGCAGAACACGCACGGCCCATGACTATTCACACTTGTGGCCAAGTTCTGTATCTGCAAGCCCGCTTTTACGGCTCGCCTCGCGCACCTGCGATCATGGCCATGCTGCCTCCCTCCGCATCTGTGGTCCCTTCATCGCAGAATCGAGTTCGCTTCTGCGGAACATGTTTCGCCTCTACGGACACTGGCCAGCCCACTCCCAGGCCGCTTCTGCGTTCATTGGCTTGCTTCTTCGAGCTCCCACCTGAGACTAATTCCACGCAGGTGCAAAAGCACCAGACCTGAAGCCACCAACAGTTCCCCCATGTCCAATTTTGAGTCCGATTCCAATCTGTTTCGCATCCGGGGCCCTATCCAATTACACTCATACATCCAACAACATAATACGGACTCGCTCGCTCGATTGAAGCATCATAATAACATCTAGAATTATGAATCAGATTCCACAACGCATGAATTCGACATGAAACTCAAAAACTTCTAAAAACACTTACGCTCATCCGATTCCGATCAAATCAACTCGGAATGATACTAAATTTTGCGTGCAAGTCTTAAATCACCATACAGAACTATTCTAGGCTCGGAATCCCAAATGGACCTCAATAACACCAAATCCTACTCTAAACCAAACTTAAAGAACATAAAAACCTTTAATGCACCAACTTCCGACATTAAGCGCCAAAATGCTCCCGAGTCATCCGAAACCCAATCTCAACACACGCCAAGTCCAAATTCATCATACGAACCTATTGGGACTGTCAAATCCCAGTTCCGAGGTCGTTTACTCAAAACGTTGACTCATGTCAAACTTAACCATTATAGGCTACTAATAAGGAACTAAGTGTTCCAATTTCAACCCGAACCCTTCCAAACCTAAACCAACCATCCCCGCAGGTCATAAAATAGTAAAAGCACATAGAGGGAGTCTTATTAGGGGAACGGGGATCCCGAAAGCAAAATTACCGGTCGGGTTGTTACATTCTCCACCTCTTAAACAAACATTCGTCCTCAAACGGGTTTAGAATCATACCTGGAGTGCTGAAAAAGTGTGGATATCTGCTCCTCATAACCTCCTTGGTCTCCCAAGTCGCTTCCTTGACTGGTTGACCTCTCCACTGGACCTTCACCGCAACAATCTTCCTGGACCTCAACTGGCGAACCTGTCTGTCAATTGGCTCCTCTTCATAACTCAAACTCTCATCTAAACCGTGCGTTAATCTAGCACGTGCGTCTTGTCGGTATGATACCTTCGAAGCATTGACACATGGAAGACCGGATGAACTCTCAATAGACTAGGAGGTAAAGCAAGCTCATAAGCAACCTCCCCAACCCGCCTCAACACCTCGAATGGGCCAATAAACCTTGGGCTCGGCTTGCCCTTCTTCCCGAAACTCATGATTCCCTTCATCGGCAAAACTTTCAAGAGAACCTTCTCGCCCACCACAAATGCTAGATCACGCGCCTTCTGATCCACATAGCTATTTTGTCTGGACTGTGCTGTGCGAAGTCGCTCCTGAATCAACTTTACCTTTTCCAAGGTATCCTTCACTAAATCAGTACCATATAACTTAGCCTCGCCGGGCTCAAACCATCCGATGAGCGAACGACATCGCTGACCATATGAAGCCTCAAATAAAGCTATCTTGATGCTGGACCGATAATAGTTGTTGTAAGAAAACTCAGCCAAGGGCAAGAATCTATCCCACTGACCTCTGAAGTCAATGATATATGCTCTGAGCATATCCTCCAAAATCTGAACTATCCGCTCCGACTGTCCGTCGGTCTGCAGATGAAAAGTTGTGCTGAGATCCACTCGGGTACCCAACTCACTCTGTACTGCTCTCTAGAAATGGAAAGTAAACTAAGGGCCTCTACATGGTATTATGGAAACAGGCACACCATGCAACCGAACAATCTCCTTAATGTAAATCTGGGCCAACCTCTGTGAAGAGTAAGTAGTCACCACCGGAATAAAATATGCCAACTTGGTCAACCTGTGGACAATGACCCACACAACATCAAACTTCCTTAACGTCCGCAGTAACCCAACAACAAAGTCCATAGTGATGCGCTCCCACTTCTATTCAGGTATAACTATCTGCCAAAGTAGGCCACCTGGCCGCTGGTGCTCATACTTGACCTGCTGGCAGTTTAGACACCTCGCCACATACTCGACTATGTCCTTCTTCATTCTTCGCCACCAATAATGCTGTCTCAGGTCGCGATACATCTTTGTATCCCCTAGATAAATAGAATACCAAGAAATGTGCGACTCCTCTAGAATTTTCTCCCTCAATCCATCAATATTAGGAACACATAGGCGACCCTGGAGCCACAGAACAACTTCCTCACCGATCGTAACCTCCTTGGCACCACCCTGTAGTACCGTCTCTCTAAGAACCAGCAAGTGCGGATCATCGAAATGACGAGCCTTGATCCGCTTAAGTAATGAAGACTGAGCCACGACACATGCAAGAATCCGACTGGCCTCTGAAATGTCCAACCTCACAAGTCTGTTAGATAAGGACTGAATGTCCGAAGCCAAAGGTCTCTCCTCTGTTGAAATGAATGCCAAACTACCCATACTCTCGGCCTTTCGGCTCAAGGCATCCGCAACCACATTCACCTTGCCCGGATGATAAAGGATGGTAATATCATAGTCCTTTAGTAACTCAAGTCATTAGCGCTGCCTCAAATTATGATCCCTCTGCTTAAACAAATGCTGCAAGCTGCGATGATCGGTGTAAACCTCACAGGACACCCCATAAAGATAATGCCTACAGATCTTAAGAGCATAAACTATTGCTGCCAACTCCAAATCATGCACATGGTAATTCTTCTCATGTGGCTTCAGCTGATGTGAAGCATATGCAATAGCTCGCCCCTTCTGCATCAATACACAACCTAGGCCAACGCGTGAAGCATCGTAATGCATAATATACATCCCTGAATCGGAAGGCAACACTAAAACTGGTTCTATAGTCAGAGCCGTCTTGAGCTTCTGAATGCTCGCCTCGCAATCATCGCACCATCTAAACGGAGCACCCTTTTGGGTTAGTCTAGTCAAAGGCACCGCAATAGACGAGAAATCCTCCACGAACCGATGATAATACCCTACTAACCCCAAGAAACTCCTGATCTCAGTCGATGTGGTAGGACGAGGCCAACCCTGAACCGCCTCAATCTTCCTAAGATCCACCTTAATGCCCTCACGTGATACCACATGCCCCCAGAAAGCCATGGAATCCAACCATAACTCACACTTGGAGAACTTAGCATAAAGTTTCTGTTCCCGCAAGGTCTGAAGCACTAATCTCATATACTGCTCGTGCTCCTTCATACTACGCGAGTAGATCAATATGTCCTCAATGAAGACAATGACAAATATATCAAGATACCGCCTGAACACTCGGTTCACCAAAAACTCATAGTGGCTATATCTAGTCCGAAAAGTCGTCCTCGGAATATCCGAAGCACGAATCTTCAGCTGATGATACCCAGATCTCAAGTTGATGAGAACACCCTGGCACCCTGCAACTGGTCAAATAAATCATCACTACGCTGCAATAGGTACTTATTCTTAATGGTGATTTTTTTCAACTGGAGGTAATCGAAACACATCCGCATACTCCCATCCATCTTCTTCACAAACAACACTGGTGCGCCCCAAGGCGACATGCTAGGTCTAATGAACCCCTTCTCAAGCAACTCCTGAAGTTGCTCCTTTAGCTCTCTAAGCTCCTTAGGAGCCATACAAAAAGGCGAAGTAGAGATAGGCTGGGTGCCCGGCACCAAATCAATGCCGAAATCAATATCCAGATCCGGCGGCATACCTGGTAGATCAATAGGAAATACATCGGAAAACTCTCGTACCACCAGCATTCAATCTAACGCGGGAATCTCTGTAGTTGTATCCGGAACAAAGGTCAACTAAGCCAAACACCTCTTCTCGACCATATGTAGAGCCTTCAAGAAAGACATAACCCGGTTGGAAGTGCCGACAGACGAACCTCTCCACTCTAATCTGGGCGACCCAGGCATCGCCAAAGTGACAACCTTGGCATAACAATCAAGAATGGAGTGATACGGGGAAACCCAGTCCATGCCCAAGATAACCTCGAAATCAACCATATCGAGCAGTAGAAGATCCGCTCGGGACTCATATCCACAAAAAGTCAACACATAGGATCGGTAGACCCAATCCACCACAACAGAATAAGCCACTGGCATGGACACATATATAAGAATGCCTAAGGACTCGCGGGACACATGAAAATAAGGAGCAAACAAAGAAGAAACATAGGAGTAAGTAGTCCCTGGATCAAATAATACCGAGACGTCCTTCTGGCAAACAGAAATAGAACTTGTGATCACTGCATCAGAGGCGATTGCCTTTGGCTTTGCGGGGATAGCATAAAATCTAGCCGGTGCGCCACTTGATTGGCCTCCACCTCTAGGATGACCCCTTGCCACCTGCCCTCCGCCTCTGGCTGGGCGGGCGGGCGAGCGTTGTGGTAGTAGTTGCGGTAAGCATGGGCCGATAGTCCTGCTGCTCGGCCTTGCCCTAAAGTCTGGGACAAAACCTCTTCACGTGGCCAAGATTCCCGTACTTGAAACAACCCCTCGGAATGATGGACTGCTGACCCAAAATCTGACCCTGATGGCCTGAATACCCATTGGAGGAACCCTGAATGGTTGGTGGGCAGTAAGTACTCTCTGGAATGGAACTGAAATAAGGTTGTGCTGGAGCACCCCAAGCAGAAGGTGATGCTAACTGCATGGGCTTACTGGGCTGACCCCTCATGAACTGACCTCTGTCCCTGGTGGGGCCCCACTAAATCCTCTAAATTGCTGGGGCCGCTTGTCCCTCGGAGCAAACTCTCCGCTGCGGTTGCGAATATGCTCGATCCTCCGAGCTATATCCATAACTTGCTGAAAGGAAGTCCCCATCTCTGCCTTACAGGGCATATGTACCTGAATCTCAGGGTGCAGACCTGCAATGAACCTCCTCACCCTCTCTGCATCTGTGGGGAGTATAATAGCTTCATGGAGAGAAAAGTCAGTGAATCTCGCCTCATAGTCGGTGACGGACATGTGACCCCGACGGAGTCTCTCAAACTGACCCCGAAGCTCCCCTCTCTCAGAAGGTGGTATGTACTTCTCCAAGAATAGATGCGTAAACTGATCCCAAGTCAAGAGAAGCAAACCCGCTGGCCTGCTAAGAAGGTAAGCCTGCCACCATCTGCGAGCCTTGCCCTTAAGCTGAAAAGTGGCAAAGTCCACCCCGTTGGACTCCAATATCCCCATGTTTCGAAGCCTATCCTTGCATCGGTCAATGAAATTATGGGGGTCCTCTGATCATTCAATCCCAAATGTAGGGGGCGAAGTCTAGTCCATCTATCCAGCCGCTTCTGCTGATCAACTGTCGCGATTGGTACAGCCTCTGGCATAGCTGCTGCAACAGGCTGGGCTCCACCCGCAGGTAGTGCACCTAGGGTCTAATAAACGGCAGCGACGTGCCCTGGAGCCTGAGCGGTAGGCGTCGTTGCTCCCCCTCCCACTTGAGATATGGCAGGGTCCACTGGTAATAAACCAGCTTGCGTCACAGAGTCCATGAACCGCAACATACGGCCCATGATCTCCTGGAATCCCAGCGCAGTCATGAAATCTGTTGGTGCTGGCTCAACTGCAGGTACCTTACCCTGCTCCTCAATAATAGGATCCTCCACTAGATCTACTGGTGGCACAATTGGAGCAACTCTAGGATGCCTCTCGTCCTCTGGCAGAAGCTGGAGCCCTCCCTCGGCCTCAGCCTCTAGCAACAGGGGAGCATCTCTTCCACGGTTGGGTACATTTGCCGCGCGCGTTCTCACCATCTGTGGGAGATACTTAGCACAACATAAATTTCACGATAGGAGATGAAGAAAGAGAGGTTTCATAACACCCTATAGGCCGTCGAAGATAAGCACAGACGTCTCCGCATAGATCCGCAAGACTCTATTAGGCCTGCTCATGACTCGCGAGACCTATGTGAACCTAAAGCTTGTATACCAAGATGCCACGACCCAAATCCGTAATAGGTCGAGACTACACCTAACGCCGCTGTTAGGCAAGCCCACAAGTATGACTACAAATTTATTTACCCCTTTTTAACAATTTTAATATGGAAGTTTTCCTTTATAGAGAACACTTTAAACTAGATTTCATGCAACTGTGGCTAATCTTTTTAAACAAAATACCAACATAACAAGTACATACTTCTGCGGTGATAGAAATGAAAAGTACAGCAGTGCATAAGTGCTACAAATCCTCAAAACACTGTGTCACAAGTACATGAACAATCTAGGGAATATGCAAAACTACTAAAAAACTACTGTCCGAAAGTAATATACAGGAATACTAAATAAGGTGGAAGGAGACTCAGGTGCTGCGGATCCTAGCAAGTCAAGCAGGTCACCACTAAGTCTCCGTAGATGATCGACTACACGCCCATGTGACCACTCGTGGAACCTGTATCAGTACCTGCACATCAGTAAATAAGTGTAGTGTGAGTACGGAAAATAACGCGTACCCAGTAAATATCTAGTCGAACCTCGAAGAAGTAGTGTCGAGGGGTTGACTTGACACTTACTAGAGGCCAATAATAATAAAGGTGCATAAAGTAGACATGGTGTCATACAATATGTATCAACAAAATAAATAAAAGAAACTACACTAAATACAACAGGAGTCCGTATCACATAACCAAAATCTTATAATTGGCCATGAAGGCCCTAACTCAATTATACCCAAACTGGAACCCGTTTCGATTATTAAGCACGAAGTTGTCGAGGCTAACGGCCCGATCCCATATGAATAGTGCTACCATCATGCTGCCGAGGCGAACGACCCGATCCCATAAGAGTGTTGTTATCATGCTGCCGAGGCGATCCTATAAGAGTGGTGTTATCATACTGCCGAGGCGAACAGCTCGATTCCATTAGAGTGGTGTTATCATACTGCCAAGGTGAACGGCCCGATCCCATAAGAGTGGTGTTATAATACTGCCGAGGCGAACGGCCCGATCCCATTAGAGTTCAGAAATTTACAACGCTCGTGGAAGTACTTGCGAGACGAGAAGACATGGATTTTTAATATTTTATTAAGAATTCCTCAATTTCCGAAATAGGAAGGCTAAGTCGATAATTGCAACTTTAAATCCATAGTCCCAGCTCTAATCAAGACAATTAATACGCATGATAAACACAACAGTACAATTAAAAACATGATGTGAATCTAAGTCTACCAGGACATATCACGGAATATAGCTACGCATGGACTCTCGTCACCTCGTGCGTACGTATCTCCCCACACAAGTAACACACAACAAGACACGCCTAAGGGGCTGAGTTCCCTCTTACAAGGTTAGGCAAGAGACATACCTCATTCCCAAGCTCACTTTCGGTACACTAGTCCGCTCTAAAAGCCCCAAGTCGATTTCGAATAATCCGAAACTAGTCAAATATTATATAATTTAATCAATATATACTCAAAATTTTATAATTTAGCTGTTAGAGTAATTACCCAACCCAAATTGGATGATTCCTAAAAATTAGCCCCGGGCCCACGTGCCCGAATTCTGAAAATTCTTGAAGATAAATGTTACCCATTACCTCACGAAACTAAATATATAATTTCTACTTAATTATATAATCATTTTCGTGTTCAAATCCCATTTTTATCAAAATCTAGGTTTTTCAACTAAACCCATAATTTCTACAATTTTCATGTTAAGAATATACCCGAAATCCACATATTAAACTCACATTAAGTAGTAATTACTTACCTCACGATGATAGGTTAAAAATCCTTCTCCAAAAGCTCCACAGTCGACCACCCCAAGTGAAAATGAGAGAAAAAGAACCTAAGTCCGACATTAATACACCCTCACAGCCCCTAGAGCTTTCGCACGTGCGGAAGCATCGCTGCTCTGCGGGGCTGCTCCTACGGTCTATTGTCCGCATCTGTGGAACACGCATGACCCACCGACTGTTCACACATGCGGCCAAGTTCTGTATCTGCGATCCCGCTTCTGCGGCTCGCCTCACGCACCTGCGACCATGGCCATGCTGCTTCCCTCCGTATCTGCGGTCCTTTCATTGCAGAAGCGAGTTCGCTTATGCAAAAAATGCTTCGCCTCTACGGACACTGGCCAGCCCACTCCCAGGCCACTTCTCTAATCATTGGCTCACTTCTGCGAGCTTGCACCTGTGGCTAATTCCACGCAGGTGCGATAGCACCAGAACTAAAGCCCCAGCAGTTTGCCCATGTCCAATTTCGAGTCTGATTTCAATCCGTTTTGCCGGGGCTCCTGTGGCCCCATCCAATTACACTCACACATCCAAAAACATAATACAGACTCGTTCACACAATCGACGCACCAAAATAACATCTAGAATTACGAATCAGATGCCAAATTGCATGAATTCGACATGAAACTCAAAAACTTCTAAAAACACTTCCGTGTCCGATTCCTATCAAATCAACTCGGAATGATGCCAAATTTTGAGTGCAAGTCTTAAATCACGATACAGAACTATTCTTAGGCTCGAAATCCCAAACGGACCTCGATAACACCAAAGCCTACTCTAAATCAAACTTAACGAACTTGAAAACCTTCAATGCACCAACTTTTAACATTAATCGTCGAAACGCTCCCGGGTCATTCGAAACCCGATCCGAAGACACAACCAAGTCCAAAATTATCATACGAACCTATTGGGACCGTCAAATCCCGATTCTGAGGTCGTTTACTCAAAATGTTGACTCAAGTCAAACTTAACCATTATAGGCTACTAATAAGGAACTAAGTGTTCCGATTTCAACCCGAACCCTTCCAATCCTAAGACAACCATCCCCGCAAGTCATAAGATAGTAAATGCATATACGGAGAGTCTTAATTAGGGGAACGGGGATCCCGAAAGTAAAACAACCGGTCAGGTCGTTACAGTCGAGGCCTAGGCATTCGAGAAGGTCTGAGAGAAGAAGTCATTGACTTCATCTGGGATAACATAATATGTCGATTTGGGATACCTGCCAAGATCGTTTGCGACAACGGAAAACAATTCATCAGCAACAAGGTGAGTAAGTTTTTCGAAGATCACAAGATCAAGAAGATACTATCAACGCCTTATCACCTTAGTGAGAATGGGCAGGCGAAATCGAAGAACAAAACTATACTCCAAAACCTAAAAAAAAGGTTGACCAGTTCGAAAGGAAAATGGAAGGAAAACTTGCCTGAAGTCCTCTGGGCATACCGTACGACTTCAAAATCGAGCATCGAGGCCACCCCATTTTCTTTGTTCTACGGAGCCGAAGCCTTAATACCAGTCGAGTTAGGAGAACCTAGCCTCAGGTTCCAGTATGCTACCGAAGAGTCAAACGGCGAGGCCATGATCACGAGCCTGGCACTATTGGATGAAAGGCGGGAGGCCACCCTGGTCCGTTTGGCTTCCCATAAGCACCGAATAGAAAGATATTACAATCGAAGAGCCAGCCTTCAACACTATCAAGTCAAGAACTTGGTATTAAGAAAGGTAACACTACACTCCAAGAACCTAAGCAAAGGAAAACTGAGCCTGAATTGGGAAGGACCGTATCGAGTTGTCGAAATAGGCTCATATAAACTCAAAGTAGAAAACGGTGTACAACTACCAAACAACTAGAACGAGGCACACCTAAAATGGTACTACTGCTAAGGTACGGACTTAACTCCATTTTAATTTTGTTAAATAATGGACTAATGTATGCAGGTACTCGGCAAGGGGCATATGTGCCTATTAGGATTGTGGGAGTACCGTACGACTTCGAAATTGAGCACCGGGGCCACCCCATTTTCTTTAGTCTAAAAAGTCAAAGCCTTAATACCAGTCGAGTTAGGGGAATCGAGCCTCGGGTTCCAGTATGCTATCGAAGAGTCAAACATCAAGGCCATGATCACGAGCCTGGAACTATTGGATGAAAGACAGGAGGCCTCCCTAGTCCGGTTGGCCTCCCAGAAGTAGCGAATAGAAAGATATTACAACCGAAGAGCTAGCCTCCGACACTTTCAAGTCAGGGACTTGGTATTGAGAAAGGTAAAACTACACTCCAGGAACACGAGTGAAGGGAAACTAAGCCCGAATTGGGAAGGGTCGTATTGAGTTGTCTGAATAACCGACAAAGGCTCATATAAACTCGAAGTAGAAAATGGTGTACAACTACCAAACAACTAGAATGAGGCATACCTAAAACAGCACTACTGCTAAGGTACGGACTTAACTCCCTTT